GTATATGGTTAGAAATAGATCGTTTGGTACCCGCGCTGGTTAACATATGACAATTGTGATGGGCACGTCGTTCAAATGCCTGAGACTTGAGACCTCGTCTTCCTCCGTCGTCCTCCCTCCTCTTTCTTCCTGGGTGGCTGACGGCCCTTCTTACCTGTCCCGCGGTCGGCTAGAGAAGGTCGTCCTACCAGCGGTAACCACTGGTAGGCGATTTTTGCGCATCCGAAAGCCCGAGCAAGTGTTTTCCCAGCTCTTTGAGACTTGCTTCGCATCGGTTCTTATCTCGTCTTCTTTATCTTTGTGTGTGTGTGTGGGTGTGTGTCCGCCTGGTCTCCACGCCAGGCGTGCTTCGAGAGGGCCCTGGGGTACAGGAGTTGCCGCTGGTTGCCCTCGCGCTCGCCTGACGGGGCTCCTGTCCACATCACAGGTTTGGTTATTCGTTTGGATGTGAATTGTGCTTTTGCGAGATGATGCGAAGAAACACACAGCTAGGGGCAACATACAGTGGCGCGCGATCGGACTGCTGATGCTGTGGGAAACTGTGGCCGCGTCAGGGGGTCCGATGGAAGCCGTGTCTCTGCCAGTGCTGCCATCAATTCCGCTTGCGCACTTTCCGAGGTGGCAGTTAACCTATATGCGAAGTCCATATTTGGCGAGGACGCATTGGCAAACATCTCTATCGAGAAGTTGCCCGACGGCAAGCTGACGGGCAGGAGAGTCGCTTTGGGGGGTCTTGAGGGTCAGGGTATGTCAGGGTAGCGCAAGCGGCGGCGAAGAGGGGAGACCGATTGCACAGCAGAGCTGGCCGCGGGGACCCAGACGTCGGCCCGCAGACCTCTCGACTCTTTCCTGTGAGCCGGTTTTCATCCCGCATGGATCTCAGGGTCCAGGGGCCCGCAGCTGGTTCCGGGTTGCCGAAATCGAGGGACAACCAGCCGTCGCTGTTTTTCCACGTCGCCCGATGTCTGGGAAGGTCGCGGGGGCCTTAATCGATTCAAGATGCCCAACGGCGGACAGTTGCGGAGGCTTTCGTGGTCCTGTGTCTGTGGGCCGAGTTGTGACCTTCGGCCAGCTTGCGCGCCCCAGGGTGGATGCTCTCGTGTTTAGTCGACGTCGTTCTGCCCTCGAGGGCCTGAGGTGGCTCTTGGGAACAGTGACGGAGGAGCAGGGGTGGAGAGAGGTCCGAGGACAGACATCTACCGATACGATGCTTTCGTGGCCTCCTGGGGGCCCCTCGTTGCCACGGCCGGGCTTGCCTCGGAATAGTCATTGTCAGAACGCACCCCGTCTGGGGAGCAGTGGTACTGGCATTTTTCGGCTACACTGATGAAGGGGGGATGAGGAGCCAGGAAGGATCAGGATGGAGGAATGCCACGCAAAAAGTATGCCTCGGGAAAAAGTCGCTCTCCAGGAAATTAGGGTTACTTCTTCTGGAAAAGGGTTATTTCTCCGGGTGAAAGTAGCAACATGCCGGGTCGGTTATACTTCTCCAGGTGAGACCCCTACAGGTCTTCCCCCCAACAAAAACACCCCAAATCCCAAACACCAAACACCAAATTCCAAACACCAAACACCAAACACCAAACACCAAGCCCCAAACCCCAAACACCAAACACCAAAAACCAAACACCAAACACCACACACCAAACACCTAATCCCGAACACCAAACCCCAAACCCCAAACACCAAACCCAACACACAAAACCCCAAACCCCAAACACCAGACACCAAACCCTAAACACGAAACACCAAACCCCAAACAGCAAAACCCGAATACGACACTTCCTCGCTATCACGGCTTTCTTTGTCCCACTGCGCGCTGGCTTTTGCTACTCATCCTCTTGTTCCCCACATCCAAAAGGGGTTCTTGTTTTCTCTGGACACCCCATGCAGGAACAGGACTGAAGGAAGGACCCACCCTCTCTTCTCATTCACACGCACACACTCACACCACCATCGCAGCATCAACACATCACCACTTACACACTCACTCACACTCACTCGACCACCCTCATTCATTTTCTCTGGACACCCCGCGCAATCCTGTCACCTCACCCCCTCTTTTCTGCCTTCGCACGTTCTGTCGCTCAATCACTCACGCACCATCACCATCATAACACCTTCAGCTTCTTCTCCCTTCGCACACTCATCATCTCAATCATCATCAGCAGCAGCAGCAGCAGCAACATCATCATCATCATATTGCTGCCCGCGGCTTTTTGTGGCTCTCTTTCGGGCCGCACTTCCATTCTCAAGCTTCTCAGGTGTCCTGCCCAGGAATGCAGGACCTCGCCCACCATGCTGCGGACGTCCTGAGGTTCGGGGCGCAGGCACTGGGGGCCTCGCTGGTGGCCCGCGCTTCGGCTCCCAGCTGCGGGCCTTGCTCCCCGCACTTGGCGTGTCCCGCGCCGCCGACCCTCTCCTGCCCATCCTGCGTGTGCGCGGGCGCGGGCGGGCAGGTGGTCGAGCCCTCGTGCGCGGGCATCGTGGCGGCGTACGCTGTGGCCGCCTGCACGGTCGGGCTCGCCGTCGGCGCTGGTGCAGGCGTCCTCGTGGCTCGTCGTGCACTTGCTCCGCCGCTCGAGCCCACGGGTGGTGAGCTGCCCACGGAGGTGATCGACATCGACGCGCTCGCTGCCGAGCAGGTGAGGCTTGCTCGCCGCCGAGCCCCAGCACTTCAGTGATGGCGGGAGGCTTCCACGCTATTCGCTACCGCGTGGGAGGTGTGGCTTTGTGGCACGAGCGCTTAGTGCTCGGGGTCTCGGCGGGGTTCGCGTATGTCGTCACGCCCGACTTCGACGACTACGATGAGCCGATCGTGGTGGGGCCCGACGTGCGGGCCGTGCTGCCGCTGGCCGGACAGGGCGACACGCCTGCTGCGCTGGTCGGCGCCGCAGTGCATCGATTCAGACGCTTGCCGACGGCCGCGGAGCTGTGGGCTGCCGTGGGTCGCTCCGTGGCCGCGGGGTACCCGATGCCAGCGGACCCTCTTCTTCTGGCTCTCGCGGCGGGCAACGCTGCAGGCGCGCCTCCAGGGCCCACGCTGCAGGCGCGCCTCCAGGGCCCTTCCCGCTGGCGGACCCAGCAGCTGCGGCCGCCGCCGCGCCTGCGCCGCCTCTCGCCCTACCACCTGCGGATGGTCCTGCTGCTCCCGTCCCGCCGGGGGCCGCCCCTGGAGTCGCGGCGCTGGCCGCCGCTCTGGGACCCGTGCCACCTGGCCCTGCCGCGGCGCCGCCGCTGGCGCCTGTGCCTGGAGCTGCGGCTGGTGGCGCTCTCGCGGTCGATGCTCTTCCCGTTCCTGCTGGCGACTTCAGGGTGCTGCCGATGGCGATCAACCAGCGGGGCGAGCGCGAGCGGAGGTTCGGCGAGACGGTGAACGGCCTCTCAGAGACCGGGGTGGTGGGCTGGCCCATCCAGGGCCCGCGCACTCTTCTCTGGTGCTTGTCCTTTATGTCAACCATGGCGGGGACGCCCACCGCGTGGCATCAGCGGTGGCTCACGGCCATGGCCCTGGCCGACGACGACGAGTACGCCAAGCTCCATGAGACCCTCTGTCGGGTCTTAGACCTCGCCGTGGTCTACGACCAACTGCAGGTGGCGGAGATGGCGTCCTTCGAGGTCGTCGCACGTCAGCTTCAGCTGCTGGAGGAACGGGTGCACGAGTCTCGCTCGGCGCCCCCGACGGCTGCCGCGCCCCAGGCCAAGTCTGGAGCCAGGAGCGCCGCGACGGCCACCGCCGCCAGCATGGCCGAGACGAGCTACTTCTTGGGCGCGGGGGTCTCCAAGGCCAACTTGTGCATCGCTCCGAAGCTGCTCGAATACATCGCGGATCAGATGAAGGCGGAGGCCGCCATCAGCAAAGAACGACGCAAGGCGCGTGAGGAGCGTGCCTTGCGGGCGCCATGATATCTGAGAAGTCCAGGCCTGGCTGTGGGGCGCGCCTCAGTGGCGCCAGCCAGGCGCATCGCCCCAGCGCTGCTCATCAAGTTCGGCAGCGTGACGTTTTTCCTCTCCGTCCTATCCCTGTGGAGCGACGATCTGGCATCGCGTCGATGGGTGGTTCAGCCCGCGGACGGGCCGCCAAGGGTGCTGCCTGGAGAGAGTGGTACAACGATGCCGTGTCCACCCTCAACGACATGCACCATTGCGACCCTGATGATATGGTTACTCCGCCTCCAGGTCTTCCTCCGCGCGCTCGTAGCGACGCTGAAGAGTATCTTGCTCAACAGTTTCGCGATTTTGAACTACCTCCTGGATATTCCGAATCTCCGATAAGATGCGAGGCAGCCCTGGCAGAGTTGCTCGCGTCGGCGCCTGGATACTCTGGTGAGTCTCGGGTGAGACCCTACGACAAGGAGCTCGTCTCCTGGCCGAAGCACGTGGCCCCCGTTCCCACGGCCGATCTCGTGTCCGTCGCCGATCGTTCAACGTTGTCAGGGTGGAGGCAACAAATGCTACGTGATCCCGCGGAGACAGCTACTCTCAGGAAGGACTCGGGCATCGGTTCGCCATACGTGGATCCTCGCCTTCGGTTTCGCCCTCGGGAGTATGCTGATTTTTTGCTGCGCTTGGATCAGGCTGGCGTGCTAGAGTGGGAGGTCGCCGAACGTCAGGCGCCCTACTCCACAGGCTTCTTCTTCGTCGAGAAATCCAATGGGGTCAACCTTCGGCTCGTCTTCGACACGCGGGTTGCCAACATGTCCTTCTCTGCCCCCCCTTCTACGAGATTGCCGACTCCGTCGGCATGGAGTGCACTCGAGGCTTCGGCTGGCTTCTACGTGGCGCAGGGTGACATCCAGTGCGCATTCTATCACATGAAGTTGCCGCCCCAGCTGCACAGATATTTCTCTCTGCCAGTGGTCCCGAATCGGTACTTGGGTTTCAAGGCGATCAATGGACTGAAGCTCCCCACGAAGGCCTTCTTACAACCGTTTGTGTCTGTGATGCCGATGGGGTGGTCGTGGGCTCTCCACTTTTGCCAGTCAGCCTTAACCGCAGCCATGCGCGACTCGGGGATCGACGATGATGCGATGCTGGTAGACGGTTCAGCACCTCGTCCTCTGCGAGACCACGGCGACATCATCGCAGCTGGCTACGTGGATAACTTCGCCACCGTCTCACTCAAGCCAGAGGTTGCCACCGCTTCGTGCCAGGCCATGCGAGACGTGCTGGTTGCGAGGGGCTTACCTGTAGAAGAGTTCGCCCCCGCGGCGCAGCGCGTCACCTTCACTGGCCTCGACATCCTGGGCGACGTCGGCGTCGTCAGGTGCAAGGTGGACCGGTTGTCTCGGTTGCGCCAGGCCCTACTTGGGCTACTCAGACGTGGCTTCGCATCTCCGCTTGCGTTGTCCGCCGTGGTCGGGCACTGCACCTGGGGGATGATCACCAACAGGCCCATGCTCTCCATCTTCCACGCAGTCTACAGCTTCATGGGTCAGGACTCGCGTCGGGCTTTGCCGCTGTGGCCGTCAGTCGTCTCTGAGCTCCGTGCCGCTGCTTCCCTCATCCCGTTGTGGTGGGCTGATGTCAGGGCAGAGTGGGCGGCCACCACCATTTGCAGCGACGCCTCTCCATACGGCATTGGCGTGTGTCGCAAGTTCGTGGAACAAGAGGTCGTTGCTGCCGCAGGTCGACTGTCTGAGAAATGGCGCTACCGCTTCTCCGATGCCGTGCACGCCCGCGCCCGCGCTCTGGGAGTCGACCCGAACGTCGCGTTGGAAGCTGCCGTGAGCAAAAGAGGCCTCAAAGACTGCGAGCAGTGCCCGAGGCCTCCCGAGGCCCAAAGCAAGCCCTCGCCCACCGCATCATCATCACCTCGAGGGCTCGACGAGATTTCGCTGGACGGCTTCGACGAGGTTCCCGACTCGATCACGGCTTCCGACGGCTGGTCTACGATATATAGCGCACGGCATTCGAGGTTCGGTTTGGACATCATGCGATGCGAGGCGGAGGCTCTCGGATTTGCGATGCGACACTCGTCTCGGTCTGGACGGCTTCGACATCATCGCATCCTGTTCGCCGTCGACAATTTGGCTCTAGCCCTTGCTGCTGGCAAGGGACGTTCTGGTGCCCGAGGGCTTCGCGATCCACTACGACGCCTCTGTGCTCTGTCCGCAGCTTCCGGCATTCGCCACGCTGTGCGATGGATCCCTAGCGAGAGCAATGCCGCAGACTCGCCGTCGAGGACAGGTTTCTTTGTCGGGCCGACCTTCGAGGAGCACCAAGCGGCTGCACCCCGAGTTTCGGCGCCAGCGAGCCACGACCGTGACGGAGCAGAGGACCAAGACGCATCCAGGACCACAACGGCTCGGGCGGGGTGCGCTCTCGGTCCTCGAGTCAGCTGCCGTGTCGGACACAACCATGGCCAACTACTGGGGCGCCGCCAAGAAGTTCGAGGAGTGGTGCCGCTGGACGTCCCAGACCTTCACCACGGCGGCGGAGGTCGATGTCATCCTAGTTGCCTACTTCGTGAACCTCTTTCTGGACGGCTTCGACAGTGCTACGGGCCGAGTCCTGCTCGCCTCCTTGAAGCACTACCTGCCTTCGATCCTGGTGGGCAGGACGCCGTGCCCGCGTGCAGCTCGCGCCTTGACAGGCTGGCGGAAGCTCGTGCCCCCGCAGATGCGACTACCCCTTCCACGGGCGGCGATGGCCTCCATCGTGGGCGTCCTCATCTCGTGGAAGCTCTTCGGCATGGCAGTGTTCATCAGGCTGATGTTCGACACCTACCTGAGGCCCAGCGAGGCCTATCGGCTAACAGCGGGCAGCGTTATTCGACCAAGACCCGATGCCGCCCGCGGGTGCGGACATTGGGCCCTGATCGTCAACGACGCCTGCCTCGATCGTCCTGGGAAGACAGGGGAGATGGACGAGAGCGTGATCGTCGACAACCCGACGCTCTGGCCCCTTCTCGACGCGCTGGTGCTGGGCAAGAAGACGAGCGACGGCCTCTGGACCTTCGCCCCCGACGAGGTGCGGAGCATGTTCCGTCGTGCTGCCGCTGCGCTCGGGTTGGAAGCCGAGATGACGCTCTACTCCCTTCGGCATGGGGGTGCGTCCGACGACCTCCTGTCTCTCCGACGCACCAGGAAGGAGGTCAAGGACCGCGGCCGATGGAGGACGGACCAGAGCCTCCTCCGCTATGCCAAGAGGGCTCGTATGCAGCAGCGGATCGCCTCCCTAGGCCGGAACTTGATCGACTTCGGGCACGCGGTCGACTCGCAGATGAACGATCTCATTCTGCAGACCACCTCCTCAGGCGTCTTCCCGCTGCAAGTGCCGCTTGCCGTGACGCCGACACCGCCAGCGGTCAGGCCTCCGCCTCCGCGAGTGACAGCGCGGTGGGCCTTCGCTTGACGAGGATTTGGCGTGCAGCCAGGCGTGCTGCGACGCGGTCCAGGTACTCGCCCGCCCTAGTAATTGGCGGCGACGGCGGCGCGGCTCGCGCTCTGCAGCGCCTCGGCTTTGGCGTGCTGCACTTGAAAGTGAGACGCCATGTTACTGATGACATCACAGATCCTTTAGTGATGAAGCGCGTGCTCGGATGGATTCGTGCAGGCTGTATCTCGCGCGTGTGGGTGGAGCCCGACGCGACTACGTGGCTCCCTCAGAAGCCCGCTGTCCGTAGCAAAGCTCGAGCCAACGGCCTGCCGAGTCTGTCCAGTGCCCAGCTTCGATCAGTTGCCATTGCGAATCTGTTTCTCAGTCATTTTGTGCGCCTTCTGTCAGTGTGTCGCGACAATAAGGTTCCAGCCGCTCTGTGTCACCCAGATGCGTCTTTCATCTGGGATGTCCTTTCTTGCAAAGCTATAGTTAGCCAATGTTCGTCTGCTGCCGTCTTCGATGCATGTATGTTCGCTGGCCGTATAAAGAGAAGATTTCGATTAGTGAGCTGGCATGTACAAGACATGAGTTCTCTTTCTGCTATATTTTCGCCGGCCGACTCGCGTTGCTGCCGATCTGGGAAACGGCATCTTGGCGAGCTCGGCATCCCATCTTTAAATCGGCAGGCACGCAGCAAAGCGCTGCGGCTCCCCGCTAATGTTCTAAGATGCGCCTGCGACAGGATGGCTCTCAGTGTTGATTCGCTTCGCTACATTGCTCGGCAGATCAGGGCTGTGTGAATTCAGTTAATGCGGCTTTCAAGCCAGTGGGATGGGCTAGCCTAGGTACCTGGTGCATCGCGACAGCATGCGTCCGCTGTCCTCGCCTGTTGCCGAGTCCTTTGCACAAACAGATAGCCCCTGGCCTCCAGAGTTGCCCGCATATTGCTGCCCGCGGCTTTTTGTGGCTCTTTCGGGCCGTACTTCCATTCTCAAGCTTCTCCCGCCCGCCCTGTTTCCCGCTCTAGAATGTTTTACCTGGTGCATCGCGACAGCATGCGTCCGCTGTCCTCGCCTGTTGCCGAGTCCTTTGCACAAAAAGATAGCCCCTGGCCTCCAGAGTTGCTCACATCATCATCATCATCATCATCAGCATCATCATCATCATCATTATGATCATCACTTGCCTGTTTGTCGTCTCGAGCGGGAGCCTCGTATGTGAGTGAATAGCTAGGACGTCTTAGGCGGAAGCCCCTTCCCTATGGGGCCCGCAACTCATGTCTTTCATCCGAGCGGGTCATTGGCCTCCTGTAATTGTCGTTATTTTTGTGTTCCCGAGGCATGAATATAGGCGGGAGCCTCGTTTGTGAGTGAATTGCGAGGAAGTCTCAGGCGTGAGCCCCTTCCCTACGGGGCCCGCAGCTAACGTTTTTAATCCGAGCGGGTCATGGGCCTCGTGTAATTGTCGTCACTTTTGGGCGTCTGAGGCTTGAAAATGGAGGAAGTGTCAGGCGGGAGCCTCGTCTGTGAGTGAATTACGAGGAAGTCTCAGGCGGCCCCCCCCCCCCCTCCATGGGGCCCGCAGTTTTTTATTATCTTTTTTTTATTTTCTAATATTGATGTATATATATATACACATAGATGTATATGTTGGCGTGCCCTTCGCTGTGCGAGCGACGCCGTGGAGCTAAGCAAAAGCCTGCTGGAGATAATGTGGTGGTGCTGCAGCTTGAGGCTCTTCTGCCCTCTCCTACGCTGCCGCCACGTGTTCCGATTCGCTTAGCTGACCATATCGATGTGACTGCCTGCCGGCAGGAAGGTGCGCCGCACTGTAACGCCGAGGCGCATGTGTTCGTCCCCTCATCGTATGCGCCTCCGCCTTGTGCTCAGGACCTTCACAGCATGCAACGCCTAATTGACTCTCAGAATTCTACGATTGCTCGTTTGACCAAAGAATTGGAGGATGCACGTGCGAATCGATTGAATGACGTGCCTACACATGAAAGGTATGCCGAATTGGATGCCAGGATCGCTGGCCTAGCCAAGTCGCTGGGCAGAGCTATCAATGACTCGCTGGACCTTCGCCTCCCTGCAAAGATTGTCCATGCTCGTGGAGAAGCCGTGCAGGCTCAACAACAAGTGGCGACCTTGGTTAGCGACACCGTTGCTGCAAGATGGGAGACTGGCCTGTCCGAGCTCAAATCTGAGGTCGCGCTGCAAACACTGCCGGCTACGACGCCACTCTGCAGGCCAGATTTCTGGAGCTGGGGGCGCGCGTTGGGAAGAGCTCTGCTGCGGAGGTGGACGCCGCGTGCGAGGTGCCACCGAATGTGACTGCTGACCCTGCCGTCGTCAGCCACTCTGCTGGGGCATCCCGCGTTGTCAGCTCCTGCAGGGGGGAGACCGAGACTCTGAAGCTCCCAAGGGCCAAGAAGCTGCAGAAGGAGAAGACAGACGTCGTCGGCGACTCTGCTGTGGAGGCCGCGCGCGAGAGTCTGCTGACGGAAGAGGACCCAGTTCCCGCTTGGGTGGCCGCTGGTTTCAAGATCGGGGCCTCCGTTACGGCGGCTGGGCTTTCCAAGACTGAGTTCAATGGCAAGCTCGGACTTGTTCGCGGCTCCAAGGGGGATAGGCTTCAGGCGCAGTCTCCCTTCTCGGAAGATATCAAGTTCATCAAAGCCGCCAACCTCAAGGCCTGCTCATCGGTGGATTGGGTGACCTCGGAACAGTTCGACGAGAGGCTCCAGGAATGTCCCGCGTCGGCTGGACCTTCTCCGACCACAGCGGGTACGGCCCGCCTTTCCTCTACGACTTCTGGCGGGCATTCTGGTGGCCCCAAACTACCTGAGGGAACGTCTACGATAACCTATGAGCAGGCTGCCGCCCGCTCCCGATAGTCAGATTGAACCCGGCTTGCTACGAGTGGTATGTAAACAAAGAATGAAGGGGTCATCGGCTTTGTGTAACTGTCGTCGTCTTTGGGCTCCTGAGGCTTGAACATGGAGGACGTATCAGGCGGGAGCTTCGTTTGTGAGTGAATTGCGAGGAAATCTCAGGCGGGAGCCCCTTCCCTATGGGTCCCGCAGCTCATGTTTGTTTTAACCCGAGCGGGTTATCGGCATGTTGTAGCTGTCGTCATTCTTGGCTTCCTGAGGCTTGAAAATGGAGGAAGTATCAGACGGGAACCTCGTCTGTGAGTGAATTACGAGGAAGTCTCAGGCGGGAGCCCCCCCCCTCCATGGGGCCCGCAGTTTTTTATTATCATTTGTATTTTCTAATATTGATATATATATATATACATATAGATGTATATGTTGGCGTGCCCTTCGCTGTGCGAGCGACGCCGTGGAGCTAAGCGAAAGCCTGCTGGAGATAATGTGGTGGCGCTGCAGCTTGAGGCTCTTCTGCCCTCTCCTACGCTGCCGCCACGTGTTCCGATTCGCTTAGCTGACCATATCGATGTGACTGCCTGCCGGCAGGAAGGTGCGCCGCACTGTAACGCCGAGGCGCAGGCGTTCGTCCCCTCATCGTATGCGCCTCCGCCTTGTGCTCAGGACCTTCACAGCATGCAACGCCTAACTGACTCTCAGAATTCTACGATTGCCCTTTTGACCAAAGAATTGGAGGATGCACGTGCGAATCGATTGAATGACGTGCCTACGCATGAAAGGTATGCCGAATTGGATGCCAGGATCGCTGGCCTAGCCAAGTCGCTGGGCAGAGCTATCAATGACTCGTTGGACCTTCGCCTCCCTGCAAAGATTGCCCATGCTCGTGGAGAAGCCGTGCAGGCTCAACAACAAGTGGCGACCTTGGTTAGCGACACCGTTGCTGCAAGATGGGAGACTGGCCTGTCCGAGCTCAAATCTGAGGTCGCGCTGCAAACACTGCCGGCTACGATGCCACTCTGCAGGCCAGATTTCTGGAGCTGGGGGCGCGCGTTGGGAAGAGCTCTGCTGCGGAGGTGGACGCCGCGTGCGAGGTGCCACCGAATGTGACTGCTGACCCTGCCGTCGTCAGCCACTCTGCTGGGGCATCCCGCGTTGTCAGCTCCTGCAGGGGGGAGACCGAGACTCTGAAGCTCCCGAGGGCCAAGAAGCTGCAGAAGGAGAAGACAGACGTCGTCGGCGACTCTGCTGTGGAGGCCGCGCGCGAGAGTCTGCTGACGGAAGAGGACCCAGTTCCCGCTTGGGTGGCCGCTGGTTTCAAGATCGGGGCCTCCGTTACGGCGGCTGGGCTTTCCAAGACTGAGTTCAATGGCAAGCTCGGACTTGTTCGCGGCTCCAAGGGGGATAGGCTTCAGGTGCAGTCTCCCTTCTCGGAAGATATCAAGTTCATCAAAGCCGCCAACTTCAAGGCCTGCTCATCATCGGTGGATTGGGTGACCTCGGAACAGTTCGACGAGAGGCTCCAGGAATGTCCCGCGTCGGCTGGACCTTCTCCGACCACAGCGGGTACGGCCCGCCTTTCCTCTGCGACTTCTGGCGGGCATTCTGGTGGCCCTAAACTACCAGAGGGAAAGTCTACGATAACCTATGAGCAGGCTGCCGCCCGCTCCCGATAGTCAGATTGAACCCGGCTTGCTACGAGTGGTATGTAAAATTATGCTAACGGAGTTCCCCACATAAATAGATTAACGGTTTCGTGGGACCCATTTTCTTGATGCCCTCCTCGCTTTGGCGGGGCCCCGCTGGAAGGGGGGAAGGCTACGAAACTTGGTTTTCGGATACCCTCCTCGCTCAGGCGGGGCTTCCCTGCAGGGGTGGGAGGGGCACGAAACCATGTAAATAGTATGGTTTTCGGATACCCTCCTCGCTCTGGCGGGGCCCCCCTGGAGAGGTGGGAGGGGCACGAAACCATGTAAATAGTATGGTTTTCGGATGCCCTCCTCGCTCAGGCGGGGCCTCCCTGGAGGCGTGGGAGGGGCACGAAACCATGTAAATAGTATGGTTTTGCCTCCCTGGAAAGGTGGGATGGGGCACGAAACCATGTAAATAGTATGGTTTTCGGATACCCTCCTCGCTCAGGCGGGGCCTCCCTGCAGGGGTGGGAGGGGCACGAAACCATGTAAATAGTATGGTTTTCGGATACCCTCCTCGCTCTGGCGGGGCCCCCCTGGAGAGGTGGGAGGAGCACGAAACCAGGTAAATAGTATGGTTTTCGGATACCCTCCTCAGTCAGGCGGGGCCTCCCTGGAGGGGTGGGAGGGGCACGAAACCATGTACATAGTATGGTTTTCGGATACCCTCCTCGCTCAGGCGGGGCTCCCTGGAAGGGTGGGAAGGGCACGAAACCATGTAAATAGTATGGTTTTCCGATACCCTCCTCGCTCAGGCGGGCCCCCCTGGAGGGGTGGGAGGGGCACGAAACCATGTAAATAATATGGTTTTCGGATACCCTCCTCGCTCCGGCGGGGCCTCCCTGGAGGGGTGGGAGGGGCACGAAACCATGTAAATAGTATGGTTTTCGGATACCCCCGCGCTCGCGCGGGGCCTCCCTGGAGGTGTGGGAGGGGCCGAAACTTGTAATAGTATGGTTTCGGCTACCCCTCCTACGCTCAGGCGGGGCTTGTCCCTGGAGGGGTGGGAGGGGCACGAAATCATGTAAATAGTATGGTATTCCGATACCCTCCTCGCTCAGGCGGGGCCTCCCTGGAGGGGTCGGAGGGGCACGAAACCAGGTAAATAGTATGGTATTCCGATACCCTCCTCGCTCAGGCGGGGCCTCCCTGGAGGGGTGGGAGGGGCACGAAACCATGTAAATAGTATGGTTTTCCTATACCCTCCTCGCTCATGCGGGGCCTCCGTGGAGGTGTGGGAGGGCACGAAACACATGTGTAAATAATTGTATAAAGTCGATGTGCATCCTATATACTAATGATTTTCCGATACCCTCCAGATCTGGGTGAATTGCCGTGACCTTTTTATGCTTGCGCTTGATTGCCTGTTTTTTCATTTTGCACTCGCTCAGGCTGGGCCTCCCTGAAGGGCGTGGGCGGAGTCACAGAAAGACCATTGAACTAGTAGTTTTTGCCGACGATTGGCTCTCGCTCAGGCGGGGCCTCCCTGGAGGGGTGGGAGGGGCACGACACCATGTAAATAGTATGGTATTCCGATACCCTCCTCGCTCAGGCGGGGCCTCCCTGGAGGGGTGGGAGGGGCACGACACCATGTAAGTAGTATGGTTTTCGGTATGGAGTGGTATGGAATGGTATGGTAGGTTTGGTATGGTACGGTATGGTATGGTATGGTATGGTACTGGAGGTATGGTATGGTATGGTACGGTGTGGCATTGGTGTGATATGGTATGGTATGTTATGGCACGCCATGGTATGGTATGGTACGGTATGGTACGTATGGTGTGGTATGGTATGGTACGGTATGGTATGTGTGGTAGGAACTATGGTATGGTATGGTGTGTGTGGTAGGAATGATATTGTGCGGTATGGAAGATGGAGCGGGAGGTGGGTGGGAAGGAGAGGGTGTTCTGGGAAAACAAGAACCCCACTCAGGATGTGGGGAAAAAGAATGAAGGGGTCATCGGCTTTGTGTAACTGTCGTCGTCTTTGGGCTCCTGAGGCTTGAACATGGAGGACGTATCAGGCGGGAGCTTCGTTTGTGAGTGAATTGCGAGGAAATCTCAGGCGGGAGCCCCTTCCCTATGGGTCCCGCAGCTCATGTTTGTTTTAACCCGAGCGGGTTATCGGCATTTTGTAGCTGTCGTCATTCTTGGCTTCCTGAGGCCTGAAAATGGAGGAAGTATCAGACGGGAACCTCGTTTGTGAGTGAATTGCGAGGAGTTTTCAGGCGTGAGCCCCTTCTATTTGGGGCCCGCAACTCCTGTTTGTAACCCGAGCGGGTCATCCGATTGGTGTAACTTGCATTTTTTTTTGGGGCTCCTGAGGCCTGAATGTGGAGGAGGTATCAGGCGGGAGCCTTGTCTGTGGGTGAATCGCGAGGAAGTCTCAGGCGGGAGCCCCTTCCCTATGGGGCCCGCAGACCATGTTTGCAATCCGAGCGGGTCATCGGCCTCCTGTAATTGTCGTCACTTTAGGGTGCCTGAGGCATGCATATGGACGAAGTATCATTCCTGAGGCATGCACATGGACGAAGTATCAGGCGGGAACCCCGTCTGTGAGTGAATTGCGAGAGAGTCTCAGTCCCGATCCCCCTCCCTATTGGGCCCGCGTGTAATTTTTCAAATCCGAGCGGGCCATCGGCCTCTTGTAACTGTCGTCCTTTCTGGGATCCTGAATCCTGAATATGGAGGAAGTATCAGACGGGAACCTCGTTCGTGAGTGAATCACGAGGAACTTTCAGGCGTGAGCTCCTTCTAGTTGGGGCCCGCAATTCCTGCTTGTAACCCGAGCGGGTCATCGGACCCTTGTAAGATGCATCATTCTTGGGCTCCGGAGGCTTGAATGTGGAGGAAGTATCAGGCGGGAGCCTCGTTTGTGAGTGGATTGCGAGGGAGTCTCAGGCGGGAGCCCCTTCCCTATGGGGCCCGCAGTTTTTGTTTTTAGTCTGGACGGGCCATCGGCTTCGTGCAACTGTCGTCACTTCTGGGTTTCGGAGGCATGCGTATGGACGAAGTATCAGACGTGAGCTTCGTCTGCGAGTGAACTGCGAGGAAGTCTCAGGCGGGAGCCCCTAGGAGGCCCGCAGTTTTTAAACAAAAA